TTAAATTAAAAATTTAGCATTTATATTTTATAATAAATTATAAATTAAATTCATTATTTTAATATTAATATTCATTATAAAATATTTTTTTTATTCCTTATATTTTATTGTATAAATTATACTTTTTTTATTACTAAAATATATTATGAAAAATATATTTTTTTTTAAATAAAACAAAAAATTATAAAAAAGCTTCTAGAATTTTAATTTTAATAAAATGTTATATTTATTATATTTTTCCATTAAATATCAAATAGCTTCATATTAAAATGGTTTTTTATCATCTCTTCTTTTTTTGTATAAAATATTTTTTTGACAAGAACTACATTAGATTCTGTTTCTATCTTCTAAAATGACTTCTTTACCGCAATCTTTTTTATAAATATTTTATAGTAATTGTATATAATAAAAAATTACATCCACATATATAACGAACACTTTAAGAATTTAAAGAACCTTAGTTTTCTTAATCCATTTAAGTGTTATTTATTTTATTTTTAATTTTTAAATAATTTAATAACAAAAATAAAATATAATTATTAATTTTATATATTTCATTCTAATATTAAGATATACTCTTATTATTAGTAATATTAAAATAATAAAATAATATATATATATATATATATATATATATATATATATATATTATATTTATATAAATTTTTAAACATATATTTTTTTATATAATAAATACATATATATACATAATTTTTTATTTATTATTAAAATATTTTTATATATTAATTATAATTAATTGTTTTATTAATAAATTTATAATATAATATTATTTTTTATTTTTTTGTTAATATAACTATATTTAGCTATTTTTTATTTATATATATATATATCCATATTATTTATATTATTTTATATTATAACAAATATTCTTTTATTTTTTTGACATATAATTTAATTTTTTTTTATAATATTAGGCAACATAATTTATTTTGTTAAATTTTTCTTAATTTAACTGCGTATCCTTTGATATAAATTTATATCCATTAATATATCGTCAAATCATGCACATTTTTCTCATTAATTAATTATTTATAATCCTTTTTTTTTTGTTTAATACATCAAAATTTTATTTTTAATATTTAAAATCATATTTGCAATTTCCTAAAATACCTTTTATTTTTAGCTTTTAATTTTTATTCCTTCATATTTAAAGTTATTTTTCTTGTTAAATTTTATTATTTATCAATTTTTTTTCTAAATTTAAAATAAATCGTATTTAATACTCAGCTACTCCTTGAGGAGAAAAAAAATTGACTGAAAGTACTTTTTTCAATCTCTTTCTTTGCTATTATGTTTAAATTACTGTTTTCATCACCCCTTAATGCTATAAAATCCAAGCTTTTACTTTTTAGATTTTTTAAATACTCGGAAATCAATTTTATCGTTTATTAATGGAATATATGTTGAAAATAATGCTATTTTTAATTTTGATTATAAATTTTATTTATTATAAATTAATAATTGTTATAATAATTTTTAATTTTATATATATCTTGATATTAATTTTTTAATAATATTTAAACTAATTTTTTTATATTTTTATTAAAACGAAACTTTAAATTTAATAAAAATGTTAAATACAATTTTTTCTTCAGTTAATATTTTTGATTCCTTAATTTTTAAGCCCAACATAAAGAAATATATATTAAGGAGTTTTTAAACATTAAATAAATATTTATTTTCCATATTATTAATTTTTTATTGTTATTGTAAATCAAAATTTATCTTCATTATTAAAAGTTCTTTCTTAATGTCTAAAAACAAATAATAAATAATATTTATTAAATCTATTATTATTAATAATATTATATAATTTTTACTTATTCTCATTAGATCAATTAATTATATAAATTTTGTCTTAATATAAATATTCATTATTTTCTTTATGTGAAATATTAATTAAAGATTTCAAATTTCGGTAAATTAATTTTTTAATTATATAATAAAATTTATGTTTATAATGTAAAATTTTTTTTAAGAAAGATTATTATATAAATTAATTTATAAGATATATTTTTTCTGATATCTTCTAACTATTATCCTATAATTATTTATTATATATATATATAAATTATTAAAATATATTTTAAGAAAAAAATATATATGTAAAATAAAAATTAACATAAATTAAATTTACTAAAATTTTTGGAACAGCAAGCATCATTTATGTCATTATAATTTAAATTATAAAAAGTTTAAAATCTTTAAAAAAATATAATCCTATTCCATATCAAAAGCTTACATATTTAAATATTCCTTATCATATATACTATTTTTAATTTCTTCTGAAAAAAAATTAAATTAATTAAAATAATTTGTTATTATAATATTTCTATAATTTTCATTAATATATAAAGATTTTTGTATTTGTTATAAATTTATATTTTATTAAATATCATATATTTTTTTAATATAATTTTTTTATGATATCTATATTTTATAAAATTATTTACAATATCCTATAAATATTTAATAATTTAATTAGTAATTTCTGTATTAAATTTTTATAATGATATAAAAATTATAAAGATTTTCTCAAAACTCTTTACTTGGTTTAAATACATTTTTTATTCCTTTTTTTAAACCAATAAAATTTATAAAAGCAATTTAATTATAAAAAAAAAAAATGAATTAATATTATATTTATTTAAATACCTTAATTTTAATTTAGATAAACTCTAAATAAAATCTTTAACTATTTTTTGATATTATGTATTATATGGATTAATTTATTGGCCAACCATTTTTTAATTTTAATTATATTAATAAAATATTATTTTATTAATATTTATATTTTTATAGTATTATTAAAGATGAGAACGAAAATAAATATCATGTATATTCATTCAATCATTTTAAAATTATAAGAATGAAAACAAAATTATTTAATAGAAATATATGTATTAAATATTTTATATGTAAAAAAAAAATTAATTAATATTTTATTAAATATTTTAAAATAATATAATATATATACATATATATATATATATATATATAATTACATATAATAGTATTAATAATATATAATTTGAATATAATAAAATAAAATAAATGAAGATAAATAAATTTAATGTTTAATAAAATTTATAATTTATTTAATAATGTATTCATTAATCTGATTATTTATCTATAGATTTTGAGTTTACTGGAACTTAAATTCATAAAAATACCAAAATTAATAATATTGATACTGTATATTCTACAAATCAATTTTATTTTTAATAATAAATTATTATTTTATAGACATAGTAAAGATATTGGAAAATAAGTCAAAACGTGAAAAGTTTTTTTCCTATTTAGTTAGGAGTTTGTGGATATAAAATCTATAATTAAGAAAAAAAGTAAATTAATGAAAAAAATATTTTTTTATTTAAATATAAAATAAAAAATTAATTTAATTTGGATTTAATTATTTAATTAAAAAAGAATTGAATGTTTTCCATTTAACTTTTTTTTTTCCTTATCAAGCGATTATTTATAGCCCTTTTATCAAAATGTAAAATTTTATAATTAATACTATTTAAAATAAAATATTATATTTATATTTTTCCTATAATTTTTGAGGTTGGCACTTTAAATTTTATGAAATAACATTAATTTGATCTAAATGAAATTTATTAAAAAGGTCTATAGACTATATAATATAACTAAAAAGAGTAATAAAAAAAATGAAATCCAATAAAAATATTTAATTTATATATATATAGTAAATAAGTTAAAAATATTTAATAAAAAAGTAAATTACTTAGTTTAGAAGATTTAGAATTATAAAGTTTATCAAATACAAAAGAAAACAATAATTTTAATTAATCTTCTAACATCTAGTTATTAGAGTTATTAATTTAAAGCAAAAAACCTTTGATTTTCCATAATGGATTTTCTGATTTACTTTATGTTTAAATTAATATATATATAAATAAATTTTAAAATTTTAATATTTTTAGTAAAGCTTTACTAATATTTTATAGATAATTTACCAGAAAATGTGATTTAATTTAAACATGAATTTCAGAAATATTTTCCAGTAGTTTACGATACTAAATTTATTTTAAATTCCTCTTAAAATTTAAAAAAGCAAGTTGATTATAATACTGAGTTAAGATATGCTTTTGAAAGTTTAATTAAATATAAGAATATTAAAAACTAAATAACTATAAATGAGAAATTTTAAAATTATTACTAATTAAATACTTTGTAAAATCAAAATAAATCCCATGTAGCTTCTTATGATGCGTTAATGACAGGTTATATATTTTTTAAATGCTTGGAGATTTTAAATATTGATAAATAAGAATTATAAAGCTTTTTTCAGAACAGAGTTTTTATGCCACTTTTATAATAAACATTTAATATTTCTTATCAAAATAAAAATGAAAAAATATAAGTATTTCATGTAAAATTATTGAATTGCGAATCTGAAGAAAATGATAATATTAGATAATAATTAATTAAATAATATTTTAATTCAGATTACATTTGTTAAGTTTATTTTGGAAATGAAAAAGAGTTTTTAGTTTATGTTAATGAATATGATAAATATTAAGAAATTCAATAATCATTAATTGATTTGAATCATATTAATATTTTAAATATTTAAGATAGATTTTTTTAGGTGAAAACATATTAGAAATATATACAGGATAAAAATAATTGAATATTTATGTTTAATTATAAAAACAAGTATATATTTATTTTTATCTAAAAATAAAGTTAAATATTATTTTTTATTTTATAAAAGTTTCTTATATTAAATGTATTTATATATATAATTCATTAATTTTAATTTTTTATAGATTCTTAATTTTTTTAGTAAAACCTTTATGATCTAATAAAAAAATAATTTGGATTATAGTTTTTTTAATTACTAAAGGCTAAAATTTCATTTACTTAATTTTTATTTTGTACTTTTTAAGGAATTTCAGGTTCATTCGAAAAATTAAATTAAAAATTAGTTTTTACTTTTTTTATATATATCATCATTATTAATACTTATTTTAAAAAAATAAATAAATATTACCTTCATTTAATTCTGAATTATTTTATTGAAATACTTCTTAGAATTAAGATTACGTTTTTTATTACTAATTATCCTTTTTATTTTCTTATACTTCTTAGTTTTCTATTTAATTTTTCTAGTAATCAACTTAAATATTTTTTTCTTAAAATTTATCAATAATATCTTTCAAAATAATATTTTATTCAAGTTTATTATTTTAATATTAATTGTAATATTCTTCTTCTGTTATTATATTATTTTCTTAATATTAATTACTAATAATTCTCGGAGGCCTAAAATAAATTAAAAAAATCAAACAAAGTCCTTAAGTAAATAATATTATAAAAAAAAAAAAAAACCAAAAATTATTAATTAAAGGTTCTGCTTTTCCACCATAAGTAGTTTCAATTTATGAAGGATTAGAGTGCTCAAACAAAGGTGTAGGCAAATTATTATTATAAAATCTTATTTTATTTATTGTATTTTCATGTAAAAAACTCTTAACAATTTAATAAGGAAAATAAATCGATGAAGGAGAGTTAACAACATAAGACGCAAACAATCTACTTCTGTAATTTTAAGATAAATATTACATGATTTATTTTAAATACAAAACCAAACTATTAAGTCCAATAGATTTCAAATCTATAATCACAATCCAGTTCTCGATCTATTAAATAATAAAGATCCAGACATTGTTTTTTTGTTTTACTTATCCTTATAAAAGTAAGTTTTTTATAATGAATTCGAAAAAGTATGTCATACTATCTAATATTTAATTTATTTTTATATTCTTTAAATCGAATCTTTAGATATTTAAAACTATTATTGGTCGAAATTTCATGTCTCTTCCATGAACATAAAATAATCCACTTTACTAATTTATTGTTTTAAATATTTTTTTAAATTATTTTTTATTTAGAATTTTATTATACTAATATTTGATAGGTATCATCATTCAATTAAGGAGGAATATTTTGAATTCGCCATTGTTAATGTAATTACATATATGATATAGTGTTTTTAATATTAAATTAATTAGCATATAAAAATCGTAATTTTCTTGATTCGGTCCACCAGTCCATTAAACAAATATTTTATTTATTTATTTCATTGTTCAAAATGCTTAATTATTCTATTTCAAAATAATCTAAATTAATATGTCCTTCAAAAATATAACGAATAGCATTCTTTTCATTTCCAATTTTTTAATCTTTATCTATTATTATTAAAAAAAAAATATTTTATAATTCTTATTTTAAATATAAATAACATGTTGGAAAATATAAAAATGCTGAATAAGGAATTAAAGGAAATTAATCTAATTAAAAAATGTTTGTATTCATAAAATGGATTTGTTAATTAAAAATAATAAAAAATATATTTATATATAAAATATATTATTTTATAAATAATAATACCTTTTTAATAATTTTATAGTAAAAAATAATAATATAGATATATATATATATATATATATATATATATATTTTATATTATTTTAATTTTTTATTTTATAATTTATATTTATTATTTTTCAAAATATAATTAATAAATTTTTTATTACATATTACATATAAATATTTTTTTTGTTACTTTAACATTTAATGAAAAAAAAAAATTTATATACTTATTATAGATAACAAAAAATTAAACAAAATATTATTATATTTTATTTAATTTATAAAAGTGTGATAATATTTATAAATAAATTATCAATTTATTAATATAGTTAAATTTATTATAAATAAATAAATTTTTATTTTAATATTAACTTTTTAAATATTTTATTCAATTCTATTAAAAATGATATAAATAATAAAAAAATAAAACTAACTAAACAAAAATCAATTTAAATATTAAATATAGATATTTATTATTAAAAAATATATAATTTTAATTAAATTAACTTATTTGTATATAAAATAAATGCTGAACCTCATTTATATATATTCTTTTATTTTTGAAATATGTATAATTTTAAACAATTGAAAATTCTAATACATCCTTTGAAAGCATTTCAAAATATTAGTAATATAAATGTTAGTAAATAACTAAAATTTATAATGGACAAATTTATTATTAATAAAATCATATTTATTCAATTTTTGTTATTATATAAATAAAAATCCTAAAGTTAAATTAAGAATATTTATTTAAAATTAAAAATACTAAAATCAAAATTAAAAAATACACAAAAAAAGTTTAATATAAAAATTTTAAATGAATTCTAATTATTTAATATTTGATTTATATTAATTTTTTATAAAGATTCTATTTTTTATTTTTTATGTATTAAATGTATTAAAACTCTATTTATAATAAAGCTAAACCAATATATATTTTAGTCACTATTAATTTTTTGAAAAATAAAATTACAGTAAATTAAATAAAATGTGAATAAATAATAATCAATTTTATTTTGTACAAACAAAACTAAAGAATTTATAAAATCTTTAGTAATATAATAATTGTATTAATTTTTTTATTTTTAGTTTTATTTAATTATTTTAATAATAAAAATTGTGTATATAATATAGTTAAATTGTTTAATTATATTTTTATTAATATTTATCAAATTTTATTCTTTAAGTTATCAATTAACAATATTTACAAATAAACATTAAAATCATTTGTTAATTAAAATATTGTTTTCTTATTTAAATTTATATTTTTGAGAGATATATGAAATTAGTATTTTTAATAAATTTTTTAAATAATCTATATATTCGAAAAATCAATTGTATTTACTAAAAAAAAAATTTTTTCTATATTTGTATAAAATTAATTATATTATTATTTTGTATTTTTTATTTTTTATAAAAAAAAATAAAAAAAATTAAATTATTAAAAAAATATAAAAAGAAATCAAAAAGAAAATAAAATAAAAGATATTAGATATAAATGGTATTTAAAAAAAAAATATTAACTAATAAAACATATATTTTAATAAATTATAAAGCAAAAGTCCAACGATTAAATAATAGAAGAAGAAGTTCATATATTAGAAAATTGTAAAGAATGTCTAAAATTATTAAGAGATTGTTAATTATGCAAGTCAGATCCAACTTTAGATATTTTATTAAAAAAATATCGTACTCTAGGCGCATTTGAAGATATTTTATCAAAATCACCTTCAAAAGAAAAAGAAAAGACCTGTATAATTTTTAAATACAAATAATTTATAAAATGTTTAATTGATATGAATAAATTTAAATATTTAAAATAAACATATAATATTAATTATATAAAATTAGAAACTTTATAAAAAAAAAATAGTAGAAAATTAAAAGAATAAACTTTCAGACATAACAAAAAATAACGAAGATTTAAATAAGAAAAAATAATAAAATACTTCTTCATAATATAAACCAAAATAAAAAAGAAGTAGATCATCTTCATCATAATCGCAGTAAAAATAAAGAATTAATTAAAAAAAATACGAATAAATGTATCAACTATTAATAATAATAATATATTTATTTTACTTTTTTTTCTTTTTTCTAAAAAAAAAAGGTCAAACTCCTCAAGTAAATCTAGGGCTTATAAAAACAATAATAATAATAATAATAGAGGGGGAAGTTATTATCCTAACCAGAGAAATTATTATCATAATACAAACAGAGGTAATTATGATAATAGAAAATATAGAAGCAAATCACCAAATATAATTAGCAATAACAACAGATATCATTATAATTAAGGATTTAATAAAATGCAAATAATAATTATTAACAATAAAAATAATAATATAGAAGAAATTCAAGATCACCTTATAGAAGATCACCCTAAAATTACAATAATAATAACAGCAATAATAATAATAATAATAATAATAATAATAGTAAATATAAAGAAGAACGTAGGAGAACAAAATCAAGAACAAGAACAAATTCAAAGTTTATTTCTACTATTTTTTTTTATTATTATTATTAAAAATATTTATATATATAATATAGAGATAATATAAAAAAACTTTCTTCATCAAGAAGTTCGAGCAGAGACATGCGTTTAAACAGAGATGGATATTAAAAAGAAGTAAAAATAGATATGATAATTATAAAAAGCAAAATAATAAAATATTTGAAAAAGAAAGAAGCTATTCAAATCAAGACAAGAATAAATAATATAGAAATAGAAGTCATTCAAAGTATTTATATTTAATATAAATTAATTATAGTCATATGTTTTTTTTTATAATTAGCTAATATGATAATAAAAATAATAATAAAGATGAAGATGAAGTATAAAAATAACTTGAATAAGCAATTATTTAATAATTCTCGAATAAATGATAGGAAAAATTAATTATAACAAAAACATATAATAATAATAATTTTTTATTTTAAAACTGTTATTTAATTTTTCTAATCATTATAATTTTTTATTCTTTTTATTAAAAATATAATATATTTATTAATCATATAATATGTATATAAATACAACGATTAGAACTAAATACACTTGCCTAAATAAATTTATTTTTTAAATAAAGTATTTATATTCTTTTTTTTTTAAATTAAAAAAATTTATATTTTTATGAAATTTTTCATTATTTTTTTAAAAAATAAATTGATTTCTATATATATATATATATATATATATATATATATATATATATATATTTTAATAAATTTATATTAACTAATAATAACAAAAAGTTATCAATTTAAATTATTTGTGTTATAGATATTTTTTTTTTTCTGCATTTATTTATCTTTCATTTTTTTTAAAAACTTCTTTACTTGTTATAACAGGAAAATACCTAATATTATATTTATTTATAATAAGCAGAGTATGTAAATATAAACTAATATATATTATTTTAATTACTCTATTCTTTCTTTATATCTTTATACAGGAACATAATCTATATATGTATCATAAAAATCTTTAGGTTGATAATATGTTTAATGTTCTAAAACATAATAATCAATAACTGATTTTTCTTTAGGAATATATTTTTAATCCTACTATTATTCATAATATATTTCTTTTCTTAAATATGGAACATATTCTATATTAGGTTAATCATGTAGAGGTTATTATATATTTGCGTGATTGTTTTTTATATATCTATTTATAACTGGCTATTTGCTTTACTATATATTTTGAGAATTAATGGGATAGCCTTAATTTTATATAATATTATTGTTTTCTTGCTCTAAAAAAAAATTTTAATAGTTTAATTAATTATCGTATTTATTAATTGTATTAGAAACAGATCTTGGAGGAATAAAACGTGACATTTATAAAATTTATATTCTTTTAGTCTTTTAGTATTAATAAATATATAAAAATATTTAAATTAAAATAAATATTATTCTTTAAAAAAAAAATTGTTATATTAATTTAATTATTTTTTATTATATATATATTTATATAGATATATATATATATATATATATATATTTATTTTTAAAGTTTTTAGTAATCCTTACATCTATTATCTTTAAAATATATATATATAATCTTTAAAATTCATTTTTTTATAATAAGATTTTTAATATTTTTTATATTAATTAGTTAACTTTTATTATTAAAAATTTATATTTTATTTTAAATTTAATTTATTTCATAATCATCATCTATTTAAACTTCTTAATATTCTCCTTGCAAATATTCATGATTTAAAGCTTATTCGGGTGTTATTCTTTTTTCCGGATCTTTTTAAAGTAATTAAATTAATAAATCTTTACCTTTTATATAGTCTTAATTTAAAAAATATAATAATTTTATATAATTTTTTTTTAAAAATAATTAAGGATTAATAAATTAAATTTTTGATTTAATATAAAATTAATTATAAAAAAAAAATTTATACTGTATTTATTTTTTATTTCTGAAAAATTATAATCAATATTGCATTATTTATTTAAATATAAAGTTTCATCATAAATCCTTCCTTTAAAAAGTAACTTTGAGGTTAATCTACAATTTTCAATATATAAAATATAATAAATAATAAACAATTAATATATATATAAAAAATTATATACTATATACAAATTATAGAAAATAACGCCTAAACTAAAAATATCGCATTAAGAAGAGTATTTTTTCATAACTTTTAAATTTAATATTTCTGGTGCTATATAACCTGGAGTTCCGCATCTGTAATATAAAAAATTCTCCACGTTAGTAAATGTTGATAAACCGAAATCTATCAAAATAAACTAATTTTAATTTGTATAGAATATGTTATCAGGTTTTATATCTCTATGTGATATATTGAATTTGTTTAAAATAGTCAAAGTTTAAAGTATTGTTTTCATAAAGCAAAGAGTAAATTACTCGTCTTTTTTTCTTTTTTTTATTTCTTCTTTTAAAGATTAGCCTTATAAAT